GGTGCTTGCACTTCCAGAGACAGTTGTAAGCACTGTGTAACTGCCTCGAGGGTGCTTGCCCATTTTAACACAACGTGGTGCGATCATCCCCCTTGCGAAAAGGGGCGGGGGAGGGGGAATAGCCGACCGGTCTCGTGGGGGGTGCTACCGTGGGACGGTGTTGATTCTGCGGGCCGCGCGAACACAGGCGCGCGTTGGTTACGTGGGTTCCGCGGCGGTGTTGCTGTGCAACGTGTTTTGATGCCGCCTGCAATGTCCAGGACGAACCAGTAGCGCACAAGCGATGGTCGACTCTTGATCACACACCGCGTTGCGTTAAATGACGACGTGCTCGAGAGCCCCCCCCTGCTTGGTGCCTGGAACCTACTGAAGCTGACCACCCCCTTTGCTGTGGATGGCGTGCTCCTTCGACCGACCTCTTAAGGGCTACGAGGGAGAAGGGGGGCTGCACAACCTGCTGCACGGGCGCGGGTGGGTGTCGAGCCTGTCCGCGGGGAGCATGGTCACGGGGACAGACTTCCAGCTGTTCCGCCTGAGCCTGTCGCTCACCGAAGAGGGGGAACGGCACACGGACGAGATCATCGAGCTCTGCCACCGCTTCATTGCGCTGCTGAGATCTGAACCGCCCCAGAAACGGATCCGGGTATGATACGAACTTTTACCCCGGCGTACCCGCGTTATCATATTTTGGTTTCGGCAGCTAAACCTGTGTGTTTTTGTATTAAAGCTCAAGTGCATTTGGTACGCGTTTGCTTGAAACAAGGTTTACATTTTCATGGTTCCAACGGTGTGCCCCCTACCCCCTCTCCCTAACGTACGATCCCATCCTCTTGTGACACCTCTGATTGCCGGCGTGCTACCTCGCGTGGTTTGTGCGTGACGGGCGGGGGTGGTCGGTGCCGCAGGATGACCTTGCTGCAATGAGGGAGATCGGGTTCCGTTTCTTGGAGAACGGAGGCCCGTCAAGAACCGTCCAAAGCATCGCCACGACTCTGGGCCAGGAAGACGTTGTGCCAGCGGAGGTGCGAGGAGAAAAAAGTCGAGCCTAACAAAGAGAGTCGAAGAATGCGGCGGAATATCAGCAGCGTGGATGCAGTGTACCCATAGGTGGTGGAGTGGGGTGCGCGCTGGCTGTCAGGGGTAGTGCTTCTCTGCAGCACGCGTTTGCGTAGCCTCGCAGTCTAAAATCGCCATGAAATGTTCCCTCGTATCCCCACATTGTTTACCCTTCGTTCATGGTGCCTCCCTCTCCCCAGCGTACGCAACGTCCCTGTCAAGCGCCATCCCTTTGGTCATTGAGAGAGGTCGATAGCTTTTTTTTTTATGGACGGAAGTCAACGCAACGCCACTCTTATCTCTCGTACTTTCATTCGGCCACTGCTTTTTCAACCCCTGTAGCGTGCTATGCTCCGCATTTTTTTGCCGACGAAGTATGGGTGCGTTGCTCCCCCCCCCTTCCACTCACCAGGTGCTTAGCGGTGCGTTCACAGTGCTTGAGTGGGACCCCGCCGCCATCACTGATGTGGTGAACAGGTTGACTCCTAGAAACTGCCAGGTGCGTACTGCTGTAACGTGTGTATGGTGTCAGTTGTAAAGTGTGAAAGTATTTTCCAAGAAGTGGGTTTGCGGTGCGGTTGGTTGGTGCGAAAATGGAAATGTGTGCGTGTGTCTTTTTTTTTTGTTTCATTTTCCATTTTTTCATTTTTTCGTTCTCGCCTTCCCAGAGCAGAGGAGGGACGGAGGGGCAGAGAAGGGGCGAAATGAGCAGGGAGAGAGAGCGAGACAACAGCAGTGGTTGCTCAGAGGACGGATGAGGTTAAGACTAGTTAGCATGCGGCACACTCTTCCTTTCCCGCACGCGGGTAGACAGACGGACATGTGTTGCATGATTGTTCCCGAATAAGAGAGATAAAACGGAACTGGCCTGCACCCCGTCCCCCCCTCCCGGTGTTGCACGCCTTGACGCCGGCGTTGTGGCGAACACGTTGATTATTTGGCCAGTTGTCGGGGCACGGGGTTCTTTGCTGCTTCTCCTTTGATTTGCTCTTCCTTCATCTAAACGCTGGCCGCAGATACTGGTGGTATCGAAGAAGGACGAGGAGGAGGCCGATAAAGACGGGAGCGCGGCGATAGGGTGGAGGAAGGAGCGCTGGTATGGGACCTCCTACAAGGTGACAGGATAGGGCAGGACAGGACAGCGCTCATCTCCTTTGTAACCGGTCGGACGTTTACACACGTCGTTTGGTTCGTGCTGTTGGCACTTGGAGGTTTTTCGAGGAGGGGGGGGTCTACCTAGGAATCAGCGGCTCGATTATTTCACACTTTCACACCGTCCCTTCCATTCCAGAGCGCCCCCTCGGCCCTCCCACGCAAAAAGCGAAGAAAACATGGTTCTTGTTTTGTTGTATCGATTCGTGATCGTGCCCCCCCCCCTCCCCGCAGGTGGAAGCCCTGTCGGAAGAACTGTTGAGAAGGTTGGAGAGCGTCTCGCCTCACGTGGAGGGTTTCCCAGAGGCCTTCCGCCTCCCAGGGGCGAACCCCTTCATCCCGACCGAGTTCAGCCTCCGCGCTGACGACGCTGGCGAACCCGCTGGCGATGCCGACGCCGACGCGGAGGCAGTCCGCCGCCTGCTTCCGGCGAGCATTCCCGCGCTTGCACTCGAGACAGTGCCGAAGGAGGACTGGTCGAGACTGGTCCCGCCGTCTCTCGTGGCCGAAGGCGTGGGCGGGGACGGGGGGCGGGGGGGGGCGGTTAACCTGTGGCACAAGATGGACAGGTCGTACCGCGTGCCGAAGTCATCCATCGCGGCGAAGCTCTGGACGCCCGAGCCGTACGCTTCTCCTATAGCGGCGATGCAGGTGACCGGGCGGGCTTGAGACGGACAGAAGAGGCGGGGGGGGGGGGG